TTCCCAAGATTATCCTTTCTTTAAACTTCTGTTGACAAGTACAGTCAGTCTTTATTTGAATGCATGCTTTTGTATTTAAGCAATCCGTATAAGAGTTACTGAAATGAATTAGGAAAATAATTTTTTTCATTTTCATCTGAGCAAGTCCTATTGGTTGGCATTCTGAAGTTAGCAACTGTACAAACTATGATTTCTAGTTTAACATGCAGAATCAACTATCAAAACACAGGCCTATTTTTATTAGCTTCTCAAACACTTTGGCAGCTCTACATTTAAATCTTTGAAATGTTTTCTAAATTTAAATCTTTGAAATGTTTACTAAATACTCTGAATCATAATGAGAATTCCATTTACTGAGAAAGTGCAGCCTTTCATATAACAACTAAGTATGTTTAATGACTGATATCTTTTATACATGAAAACATCACTCGTCTTTTCAGTAAATGGATACAATTTTGTCTGCTTTACCCTATTATTATTATTTGTTAGCCTCACCAAGCTACAGTACCAATTGCAGAAATTTCTTCCCAGCAATTATCTCACGAAAGCAGCCAGATTTAAAAGCTCTCTGCTTCTGCATATCAAGGTAAAAAGCAACGAGTGCATTTCAGAAAAGAAATATTGGAGGAAAGTGTATCAAAAAGGAAATCACTTGAAAAAATCAGCTATAGAAAACTCAGAGGGCTAATCCCAATGTGATAAATGAGTTTCATTAGCAAGAAACATGAATAGCCTAGCTATCTAGTCTCATAATATATATTTGTAGCTATATTTTTCCTTTTTTTCTTCCTTTTGGTCATATATACAGTTCTGGTTTCTCTAGTCTGAGATAAAAGTGATGCATTCAATAACAAAATGTTTTTCAATTGAGACAGAAGCAGTATAGGTAGTCCTCAATTTACAACAGTACATTTAGTGACTTATAACCATTTTTCATAAATACAACCATTGGAACATCCCCATGATGATATGATCAAAATTCAGATGCTTGGTAACTTGTTCATATTTGTGATGACTGCAGAGTCCCAGAGTCATGTGATCAACTTTTGTGACCTTCTGACAAGCAAAGTCAATGGTGAATCCAGATCCACTTAACAACTGTGTAACTAATTTAACAACTGCAATGATTCATTTAACAACAGTGACAAGAAAGGTCATAAAATGGGGCAAAACTAATTTAATGAATGTCTCACCTAACAACATAAATGTTGGGCTCAATTGTGGTCATATGTCGAGGACTACCAGTATCTACAAGTCGACTATAAAACCTGGTAACTATGCAAATACATCCATGTAGTTTCTTGGCAACATTTTCAGAATTGGTTTGTCACTGCCTTCTTCCTAGGCTGTGAGAATATGGCTGGCCCAAATCCAACACACTGATTACTGTATCAAACTGGGTTTCTACCAGGGGTGAAATGCTCCCGATTCGGGCGAATAGGTAGTGATGGCGGCAGGCAGTTCGGAGAACCGGTAGCAAAAATCCCTGCCCCCACCCCCCATGCCCAGCTGAGCCATGCGATCATCAGAGCCTTTTTTCCCTTTTAAATGGCTCTGACGAGCCAAGCTCTGACGATCCCTGCTGAGTTGCCTGCTAATCAGGCAACTCAGCTTGGATTATCAGACCCATTTAAAAGAAAAAAAGTTTCTATTGGATAAGTTTTTTTCCCCTTTGGGAGCTTTAAAAAAAATAGTTAATTGGGGGTTTTTTAGTTGTTCTTTTTTTAGACCTGGCCATTTAAAGTTTAGGAAGTTTTACATTTAGCTACTTTTATATAAAAATAAAAATAAATTAAAATAATATTTGTGCAGCTTTCTGAGATTTAGTGTGTTTCTGTAGTGTTTCACTCTAACTACACAAACACACAAAATCTCACAAAGCTGTATGTGGAAAGTTGGTTTTTTGGGCTTTTTGTGGCTGTGTGAGGTTCCTGCTTGTTGCAGTGGCCATTTTGGGTTTAGCACAGCTGCTTTTACATTGTGCGTGAGCCAGTTGTGTTGTGTTGTGTTTGTAGGTTAAAAAAGGGCAAAGAAGTGACATTGACTTGGCCACACCCACCCAGTCACCTTACCGCCAAGCCCCGCCCACTAATTAAGCCCCGCCCACAGAATCGGTAGCAAAAAAATTTAGATTTCACCCTGGTTTCTACCATCACTATACATATTGAACATAAAATATTTCTTACTTCAATATCAGTGACTTCATTTTATCACTGATTTTAGGAGAAAATTGTTCTTAATATGGGATAGGCTGTCAACATTGATTTTATATTACTTATGATACATTGGGTGGGTTGTATACTTACTTCTCTACCACATGGAACCAAAGTGACCTAGTTTACATATAACATTATGTGGTAATGTCTGGGTTTGCATATCCTCCAGATCCAATATAAGAATTATTATAGTTTAGTTGTATGTGTAAACCTGTCCAAGAGAATGTGTAGTAATTATTAAGAAGAAATTCTACTGAATGTTAGAAAAATAGCTTTGTAATAATAAAAAGGTTCGATATTGGAACCAATTATCTCAAAAAGTGGTAACTAATGTGTTCAAGCAGAACCTAGATAGACATCTGTCACGCATACTTTATTTGGATTTGCATACTAAGGAGGGTTGTCTTGATTGCCTAATTGATTTATTAAATACATTCAAACTGTCTCAATTAAATCATGGACATAATTTATAGTAATAAAAATATTGTACATAAGGAAAAAAGGCATTAAAAAAATAGCCACAAGAAAAGCTAGATTATATTTAAAATGAATCAAATCAATTTTAACCGAACTATTAATTCCAAATATAAGATAAACAAGAATAACAAGAATGATCCAGTTCTACAGAGGAATTATTGAGTCTGTCATCTGCACCTCTGTAACTGTTTGGTTTGGTTCTGCAACCCAGCAAGACAGACACAGACTTCAGAGGATAATTAGTACTGCAGAAAAAACAATTGCTACCAATCTGCCTTCCATTGAGGACCTGTATACTGCACGAATCAAAAAGAGGGCTGTGAAAATATTTACAGACCCCTCACATCCTGGACATAAACTGTTTCAACTCCTACCCTCAAAACGACGCTATAGAGCACTGCACACCAGAACAACTAGACATAAGAACAGTTTTTCCCCGAACGCCATCACTCTGCTAAACAAATAATTCCCTCAACACTGTCAGACTATGTACTAAGTCTGTACTACTATTAATCTTCTCATCGTTCCCATCACCCATCTCCTTCCATTTATGACTGTATGACTGTAACTTTGTTGCTTGTATCCTTACGATTTATATTGATATTGTTTCCTGATTGCTTTTTTGTACCGTATGACTATCATTGTTGTACCTTATGATTCTTGATGAACGTATCTTTTCTTTTATGTACATTGAGAGCATATGCACCAAGACAAATTCCTTGTGTGTCCAATCACACTTGGCCAATAAAAAATTCTATTCTATTCTATTCTAACTTAAAAACTACTTTGTAAACTATTCAAATGTCACCTTTTTCAAAACAAATACAGCAGCCCAATGATTTATCAAAGCGGAAACCTACATTGTTAATTTCATTTCTTTTGTACATATATACACAGACACAAAATAATATAAATAAATATAACTAATATAAAAAGGTAATAACTGGGCAATGTCCTAGTTAGGCAAGATTGGCTGAAACAAGTTAATGATTCCTAAAATAAGCCCCATTTATTCAATTATTTTTTTCTAAATCTGAATCCAGGCCCAAGATTGTGCATTAATCTTGTATGTGTATTTGGAAACAGGATCCATAGAAATCAATAACAACATATCTAAGTCAACTTATGTAAGATAAGTTGCCAATCTGCCATTATATATACTTCATCCTCATATCTTTGGACTGACTCAGATGTATCTATAATAATAAAACAAAATGTATTCATTTATCTATATTCATTTATTTATTTATTGGCTGCCCATCTTACCACAGGGTAACTCTGGGTAGCTTAAAATCTTAAAAAAGATAAAAATATACAAAACTTAAAAGACATAAATAAAATATTCAATTACTGAGCCCCAAATTAAAAAATGGGGAGGAAGGGAGTAAATTGAAAGGAGGGGAGGTGGGATCTGTTATTAATGTATCAACCATCCATGTGAAACCCCTTCATTAGAGGCATAAGCCAACCAGCAGAGCTAGATCTTTAAGCTCTTGAGGAAGGTCAGATGGATTGTAGCCAATCACCCTCCGAAGGGGCAAGATGTTCCAAAGAGCAGGAGTGATGGAAGAGAAGGCTTTTCTGGATCTTGCCAGCCAGAATATACTAGCCAATGGGGCCTGCAGCATGCCTCCTCTGCTGGCATGGGTGGGGCGAACCAATCACAATGGGATGAGATGATCCCTCAAATTCATACTAAACTATTGTTGAGACCTTCAGAATAATTAATGTAAACAGATTGCAAGATGTACTCTATTTGAAGGCAAACAATATTAATACATAAAATTTTGTGTTAACAAATATGTTAAGTCAGATTTTTGAATAAATTTGATTTCCAGAAGTTGTTCCAGAGTATGCAACAATTGTAAATGTGTATATAGCCCTCACTTGCAACTTTTATGTTTTCCCAAGACCAGGTAATTGTTATGGTCTGTTTTAGATGCTCTAAAACACTTTTGGAGGTCAGAAACACTGAACAATTCAATTCACCTGTTCTGATTTGCTATTTTTAGGTATCACCATATTTTAACTGCCAGCCTTTTATTATGTATTCTAGTTAGTCACCTGTGCCGCATAGATACATATTTTGAAATGTGTAAATTATTAATATGCTACATTAATCTGCATTAATTCTATCAGCCTCAGACATGCTGAAATCCTCAAAATTATACTGAAGAGAAATGACCAAAAATAAAATAAAATAAAAATCAAGTGACTTGACACCTGCAACAAAGGGCTCTACAAACAGAGGATTTGGATATTTTTTAAAGCTAATATTTGATTTTAAAACTGTAAAAAACTTCATACCTCTTCCACTTCTACCGACAAATCTTAGATCGTTGAATCTTGCTACTTGATTCTTCATGGCAGCAGTAGCATTTCTGAGTTCTGCAGAGTAGTTTTCATCATTTCCAGCCATAACTGTGACCAAAGTCCCATCAGGGACATCTCCTAATGCGACCACCTAAAAAAGTAAATGACAAAATACTAAGTTTCTTTTAAATAATTTGAGTGTATAAACTGTTAAAAAATGAAAATGAATTGGAACCACTTTGTACAAAATAAATATATAGAGATGCAGGAGAATTCAACTAAGCAATGTCCATTTAGGGCCAAGTGAAATGTGATTTAAATTATAGCTAACACTTCATGAGTACCGGTATATTTACAGATACGATGAGTTAATTTTTATACCAGTTTATTGAATAGCTCATTTCATACTTATTATTAAGTCATAATTGGTGGATCTGCACATCACACAAAAACAAAAACAAACAAATCATGTAAATGCTTAGTATAGCGAGGGAGCCCAGTCACAGATTTCATGGCACTCAAGACTAAAACTTAATTTATTCTACTACAAAAATAAATGTTGATTAAAAATGCAAATGCATATGCTAATTTAGCAGAATGGAAAAAGTACAAGAATCCCAAATTATTATGATTCTGCAATGATAAAAGGGATCTCATACATACACTAAGTCAATGTTGGTCTCATTGAGACCAACAAAAAAAATTATACACTAACAAGTTGTGTGCAAATCCTGCACATAAATGGTTGGAGAATGTACAAAACCAGCAAGAAGCTATTCAAATTACTCAAGCTGCATCCTGAAAGGACTTGGAGCTACAACCAATGTATTAACATATTATTGTTTTATAATTCATACTGCATACTGGATATAGCTCAAGAAAGAAGCATCCTTACTGTGTAGTCTCCATTTATATAAATCAATTTTAACAAATTGTTTCAAATAAATAAATATCCAATGTAATTACTGAGTTGGAACCACATCTGAAGTACATATAGAGTAAAATCTCTGATTTTCAGTTAGTTCCTTTTAAGCAAGATGAAGCCCACATTCATATAAATGAAATTGGCTTTGAACATTGACAGATGCAAAGAAAAATACTACTGTATTTTTCCTTTTGTTTCCTGACTAATAAATCAAGGGAACTTCCAAATGTTTCCAGGCAAGATCATAAATTAAAATCAAAACTGCCACTTCACCACATTCAGACACACTTTTTATCACTATATTTGGATCTTCTGAAACAACTCTGCAAATCATTCTGACCCATTTCCAAACTAAATAAAGGCTAGGTGCTCACACAATACTATCTTTTAATGTTTTGTTTGCTTTTGCCTAAGCATGATATACAGTTCCAACCATCATGGTTTACCATTGTGAATGAGTCATACTCTAAGACATATCCACCTATCCATGGTTTAAAAATCCTAATTTGACTTTTGAGAGTGTTTAGACAGTTGAAAGCACATTACCCTGTTTTATAAGGCAAGAAGAATAACAACTTTAAAGATTTTTACTATTAACAATGCAGTATATATATCACATCAAAACTGCGGTGAGTTGTCATAAGGAGATTGTCAAACTTGCTTACATAAGATGCTTACTTACATAATGTGTTAATGAGAAAAGTTTTATCAAATTGTAGCTCTGGTGGCTTCACTCTATATTTCCTCTAGATGTGATAGAGAAAGTTTGCATTTTCATTTATGTTTGATTATAGTCTTATGCATAATTTGCTATAACAATAACCATCTTATTATTAAACTTACATAACCACTTCCTTTGTAATTTCTCCTATATGGTATCCAGCCATATGTCCACCCATTATGCAGAATTTTAGTTTTTACTTTTGTCATTTTTTTTCTTTCAGAGTGTTCTATTATCCCATTGTTACTTCTGAGAGTTTAACCTTATCACAGTTGTACATGAGCATTAAGTGCTAATAGTTTAGTTTATTCACTTTTTTCCATTTATATTTCTTCTGAATTATGACCAATTGCACTGAACTGAAGCTCATTCAAAATCAATGTAATTTAGTACAACATAAATAATTAGAACTAAGACATTGGAAATCACAAAACCCAAAGACCTGCAAATAGAAGTGGCAAAAGAAACCAAAGATAGCCCCAGTAGTAATAGGTACCTTGGGTGCAATCCAAAAACACCTAGCACTACTTGAACACCATTAGTATTGACAAAATCACTATTAGTCAATGGAATAGCTTACATCCTGGGACAATACCTTTAATATTATTGAACACCACCACCTGCCTATTCTGGGTTCTTGGGAAGGAGTCAGTAGGTGGACAAAAATGCCAAATGCAGTCTAAACATCTGGTTGACTATGGACCAACCATAATTTATTAAATGTAGATGATTCCTACTAATTCAGAGCAGTTTTAGAAATATTTTCTCTTCCTGCATCAACTGAAAGCCACAATCTATTTTTTCACACTTGCTTGCTACTACTCTTTTGTCTTCCTTTTTAACATATTGGGGATAATAAAATATGCATGTAAAATTCAAAAAGCAGACAAATGTTTTAAGGGGAAAATAATGGCAGGCAAATTCCAAGACAAATTCAAAACTGTTTATTGCAAATGATGGAAGCTGTACAGTAATCAGAACGACCATTCTGGTTGGGATTGAAAGTTATCTAAGGATATTATAATCCTTTTATCAATTCTGCCTGAATGTAGTGTGTAAACTTAGTCATTCTAAGGTTAAATGTACAGAAATGAAAATAATTCATGCTTAACACGAATTATGCACCTACAACTTAATTCATTATCTAAAGTTTTCTTTCCATCCTCATCCTCATATAATAAATATTAAATATTCCAAATCTTCTGAGTGATCCAAGTATGCAAGAAAATCTGTAAGCTGCACAGAGTGGCTGGGAGTCAGGCAGCAAGTAGATTTAATAGATTCATCATCATCATCATCATCATCATCATCATCATCATCATCATCATTTTAGCCATTGCCTATCCATTGCAGGATGAAGGCCTCTTCTACATGTTGCCAACTTGTATGGTCCTGTGCTTTCTTTTCCCAATTGGGCCCACAGTATTAATAAATTATTGTTGCTATTATTAGATTTAGAGCTTTTCTGGCTGAAGCTTTTAGACATTTCTAGCATAAAGAATTCAAGATATATTAGACAATACAACATTGGATTTTGCAGGAATGTTCCTCGTTACAATATTTTATATTTTCAGTGGTGAAAAACAGTTAAACTAAGAAAAATCAGCACAATATTTACAATAAATGGAAAATATTCTAGAAAATATTCTGTGCAAGTTTCTTAATATGCGTGTTGTAGCTCTAAAAAAATCTCAAACACATTTTTCTGCCTTAAAAGTACTGAGCATATTTGTTAATGTTGAATTAACAATGTCGGTTTGATGTTGAAAAATTTCTAGTAAGGTCATAGCAAAAACAATAAGAAAAGATCTGTAGGCCCAGGAGAATGTGACTGGTAATTAAAGCCTGTAAAAGAGTCAAAGAACACAAACATTTACATTATAAAATAGACTAAACAGATAAGCTAGAACTTGCTGACTGGAGATAGTTAGCATTTGAATTGCTGTGTTTACAAAAATGGTTTTTATGCAAACTGGATGGAATATCAGATGTTTAAAGCAACCATACTATTAAAGCCTACTAATTGGAACATTAAGTTCTTCTTTAAGACATTTGAGGCAAAATAATTTTGTGAGATACTTCATTGTTATCAAATCAAATAAATATTGGCAGAAAACATTTATCATTAATTCCAATTAAAGGCAGAACTAATTGAATATTTAATTTTGAAAGAAAATTTCTACAAATAGTAGATTGTGAATTTTAGATTGTGAAATTGTTTTACAAAACATTGGCAAAAAGCAAACTCTTATGGATCCAAGCTTTTGAAATAATAATTTCACATCACTAACTTCTTCCCTATATTATTCAAATATTTCTGATAATTCTCCATTGACTCAATTTTGGTAGATTTGGTTATGAAGGAATTCATTCTATGAAGGAATTACTGTTAGGAATAATAACAGGTGCAGTGAGAAACAATAATCAAAACGGTTTGATGCTGAATCTTACGGAACAGCTGCGGTTGGAATACAAAAAATCCTGAATAAATTGAACTGAACATTTCCTTGTTTCTCACCTTAGCTACTGCTTAAAAAAAAAAAAATATCAGGGAGGCATTCCAGCCAAAATATAGTGATTATTTAAGAGCTGTGCTCAATTTGAAGATAAAAGAGGAAGCATATTCTGGCGGCTGTCAGCCGGTAGGGAAGTGAAAAAAATTGAAGCACAGCCAAAGGTGGTGGTGGGGCGGGGAGAGATCCTTGCCTTTTAAGAGCCTCTTGGAATTGAAATATTTTGTGAAACATCTGATAACTACACCGCGGCCTTCTAAGTAAGTCGCTTCTTCACGGCTGTACTTTTAATCGCCGCTAAGATTGCACTGGTGCTAAAAAGGGAAAAGAAGCAGTTTTCGGAGACAGTGACTTGCATTTCTTAATAAAAAACGCTTAATCAAGACGCTTCGGTCTAAGATAAGCAGGACTAGCTACCGACTCGGTGCAGAGCAAGAATTTACAGAGATCACACGTGGGATTGCCAGGAAAAAGGCCACTCAGCGTTCTGCCCTTAGCCACGCGGTTGAACGCGGTCCTAGCAAGATTGGGGGCACAATTTACACGTGTTGCAATTATTCGGATCTCATTCTATCCTGTGAGCTAGCCCGCGATCCTCAAACGGTTCCCGCTTAAAGACCAAGGGATGGCTGCACGAACCACGGTCGCGGAAAAGTGGGGAAGGCTTTTTTAGACAACAGAAATAATTAATCCACCCAAGACATTTCAAAAGAAAAACAGCAGCGGGGGAGGTGGGAGAAGCGTTTCCCGGCCAGTTAAGGGGCTCCAGTAACACCTGTTCCTTTCCAAGTGCATTCAGTACGAGAACAAGCACGATGGCAGGAAAAGTTCACGATCCAGAAAAATGTGAGGGCACAAGTGGTAATCCGGAGAAAAGGCAAACAAGGCGCAGGCCTTGATTGCCTGATGCAACCGGTTTCAAGTAATTGAAAAAAAGAAAAGAAAAGAAAGATTAAACCAAAAGGCAAGAAACCGGAGTCTTCCTTTGCTAAAAGAAAGGGGTGGAGAAAGATTCACGCGAGTGAAGGTTGTTCCACTGATAAAATACCTATCAACAGGTGCGAGCCCATGAAATGATTGGCGGGAGGTTGTTAAGTCAAAGTATACCGGATCCGGGCACGTTTCTCGGTGTTAGACCCGCACTTCCGCTTTTCAGGAGGAGGCGGAGAAATCATAGCCCCCAGAGCAACCCTCCAGAAATGAAGATTACCGAACGACGACAAAGGTTATTTTGGAAGAACAGCTACAACAGCTTTTCTGATAGTTTTTTTCTTTTGAGAAGCCCTTCCGCTGGATTTGTCCAGGCACGTTGGATTTATTAACAGCCTTAACTCATCTGACAAGGTTCTGTTTAACGCCTTGATGGGTCACTGATTAGACACGTGTATTAGTAGCCGCTGGCTAGGAGATCGGTGGGAATTTATGTGAGGTCCACGTATTGCAGGTATCAGAATTAAAATTCTATGGGCAACTCTTTTTGAATTGTTACTCAGTACAGTATTTTCCTTTTCGTTCTTGCACCTAGAAGCCCGTTTGTCAATATAGACGAGCATTTTATTTCTGAATCTTAGAATGTGCCTTCTGGGTCACTTCAATTTAAAGTTTACATCACGCCCCACCCGTCGAATTAAAAGAGACAAAGCAAGGTCCCTGTACCGCGGGATTATTAATTGCTTTAGGGAAGTGCGGCTTCCGCTACAAGAAGTCTTGGTTTTTAGTTTTAACCAAATTGCAAATACTAGACACTCCCCAGCTTTGGGATACAATTCTCAGATATTTTTACGGATGGGCAATTGGAACGGGTGGGCGTTAATTGTTTTGTTTGTTCGTTACAAATTCAAGATGCAGAAAAACATGCTCTATAAACCTGTCCCTTTGGTAGAATTGGATCCTAACATCAATCAAAAGCCTATAATTTTTGCAGTTCAAGCACTAATTTTTTTATTAGTGTCATTATGTATATTTGCTTTCTCCAAGTGGATGTAGCTAAAGTCGTAGGCTGAGTTGTTAATGAAGTGCAACTATGGAGACAGAGTACTTTTAAAGTGAACTTTTCTCCTTTACTCTGATTTTTTGAACATGGAGACCAACCTTTTGATATATTAAATAAAAAGAGTTAATATTCACTGCTTACCATAGTTCAAAAAAAATTGTTAACATATTTAGGAAACTCATTTCATTTAGCTTTTGAAGATTACTTTGTAAGGAACTTCTAAATATGCAATTAACTCAGAAATTTGAATTCAATAGTCTTTAAATTGATCGCAGGAAAACTGATCTGATTTTAGATCCCACAAGTCTGTCTGGAATTGAGATGCACAAAGGGCATGTGGCAACTCTGTTGCAGTTACTACTCCATTTGCACGTATGTCATAGATATTAAGATGAAAGAGCTTAAATATGACAATCAGTTATAGATCCCAGTTCTTCTGTTTAACGATCTTGGAGTTGGAGACATCAGTAGTAATTCATTTTGATGTCACTGTTAGCTGGAGAAAAGGGTAGGGAAACCTTTTGACTTGGCATGAAATTTTTTGATCTGATCCACCTTCCCTTGAAATATTTTCCAAGATAATTATGTATGTCATAACCTGCTTTCCAAGAACCTCTTGGCATGAAATCTTTTGATCTCTCTTGTTGGGCTGGTGGCTGATTGTTATCCCTGAAAGTACTGATATAGCAAGAAACCCCACTGCATCCAGTGATTGCTCTTAATATTGTCTGCTTTGGATACAATAGTTATAGCCTTAACATCCAGTTGTTTGGGTTGAATGCATCAAGGTTAGGTAAAAAGGACACTGTAATCTCCACTGGCCAATTGCCATGGTCTCTTCAAGGCCTGCTGATTATTGGGATGCTTGTCCTTAACACAAAACTAAATGGTCTTTCCTAGCATCCCTCCTGGCACTTATGTACTTAGGCAAAAGTGCATCTTCATAAGACTACACAGGTGGTGTTGATTATGAAGAGCTAAAGTTCAGAGTATATGCAGCCGCCTTATATAGTTAAAAAGAAAAAAAATGTGTTACAATACACTGGATCTGTCTAGTGTAAATTTCAAAACAGAAAAATAAAATCTAGACTTGATGGAGATTATAATGGCACTATAAATTGCAATACAAGCCTGTGCATTGAAGTGACCCTGTTGTGTTGGCAGCATACTCTGAATATAGTTTGGACCTCATATATCTTAAGGTACATTGAAAACTGGGGATTATTCTGAAAAAATGCATAAAGTTATGCTGTAAAATGGCAAAGTTTGTTCCCCATAGATAAATCTCATCCATTTCCAGAGCATTTTTCTACAAACATGAAAGGGAATTGATTCCTTGGAAATAAGACCTATTGAAAGAAATCAGAAGAGTTGACTAATTCTTTTCGCTGCCATTTCTTACCCTCTCAAAACCTAGCCCAAATCGCAAATGCTTGGCACAGAGTACAAATGACTAGAAGTCAGTGGTGAAACTCAGAACAGCAACTTGCACTTTTAGCTTGCAAAACTAATGACAGCTGTAGAAGTAAGTGCCATTGTTATCAGTAGATCTTACTTGTGATTAAGCACTCATAAATGGCATGGCTGTAACCCTAAAGTTATTGAGGATTTATTTGGAATCCTCCCTCAGTATTATATCTTTCCGAATGAATTGGGAGATTGGCTGTCCGCTGCAAAAGGTGACAGAAAAATCGCCCCCCCCTTCAATAAGATTCCGCAATTATACATGTGTAGTGATCGCTCCCCTCTCCCCAATTCCTTGTCCCCCACTTTCCTACCTTGAAAGCGATCGGCAGAGTCTTGTTGCACCTCCAATGGGTCGGCAGGACAGAGCAGAGGAAGTTGGGGCTGTCGGTGCGGACCAGTTCTCCCGGATGATCGGCTAAGACATCCACCATGCTGCGATCTGCGTTTCTCAGCTTCCCCACCAGGGCGCTGCTGCCGTTCTCTTGGCCGACCAGCGGCAGCGCGTCGCTCATCTTGCCCGGGCTCAGAGTGGTGGAGGGCGGCGTGAAGCGGCGGCTGGTGCTGGTATCTACGGGGATACGCATCACAACAAGCCTTTTGAGTGAAAAAGGTCCTCAGAGGGCTTCGGATAAAGCGATACGAGCGCAACTCTTCAGCCGGCGGTTCTCGGGAGACCAACATAAAAAGAAAGAGGCTTAGGGTCCCGGTGCAGAAGGGACAAACGAAGCGAAGCCACTTCAGGAGCGAATTTGGACTAGCTGGACAGAGCAGGGGAACGCCGGGGCTCCTGGTCCTGCCAGAATTAACCCAAGCATCCAGTTTTAGGTTGCTCTTCTCTGGAAATCTATGTGTGGTCCTTAAAAATAAAAAACGGCCTTATAGATTTGGACAAGTTTCTCTGCTCTCCACCCCCTCGGGGAATTACCAGTGTTATTAAAACCAAAGGTCCTTCCGAAATCCCACACACCGAGAAACGTTTTGAGCAGAGGAAATGTTTGAAACAAAACCACCCCCACCACGCATACACGCAGAAAAAAGGAGGGAAGGACCTAGACTTTTCAGTAGTTAATTTCCTATTATTTTTCGAAGTTCATAGTCTTCCCCTCCCGCCGCTCCTAAATGCTGTCTAGAATTCAGTTCAAGGCATCAGTCTCTTGTCGCAAACATGGATGGGGGAGAAGAGCGGTTTAAAAGTAACTGGGGAAATAGGCTGCAGAGGACGTGAGTTGAGGTTTTCAAAGGTCAACCGGCTATCACAGCATTATATAGTGTACTTCATCAAATATTTACAGCTGACTCTATAGAGAATTTAAACACAACAGAACTCCATTAATGTTCTCCAGCAGCTTCCTTTCCCCCCCCAGCCAGAGCAGCCTTGAACCCCAGTGTGAGTAGTTTGCCTCGCGTTGCTCTTAAGCCTTGCTGTCCCGGTTTCGCAACGCTTCGACTAAATTGCTTAGAGAGGCTGCTTGAATTCGAAAGACTCTTGTACAAGTCCTGAGATGTCAGTGTGCCAACAATCTGAAACGCGCCCGGAGGGGAGGGAGAGAAAAAAAAAAAAAAAGCCCTTTTGGTTGGGTTGTGGGTTCTTTCTGTGGTTAATGTTCGCAGCAATTTTAGAAGACACGAGTCTGAAGTCACCCAACACTCTGTGGCCGCTGCGTGAGTCACTGCCAACTGTGGAGGAAAATATCTGAAGTAATATTCCTCCAATTCACCCACAGGGGCCGGCTTCTCAGCTATGGTTTAACCACAAGCAGGTGGAGCTCTGCTTTCGGGACCGCCGTTGGTTTCCCCCTCATTTCTCAGTCCTCCCTTCGCGCGCTCTCCTTTAACTTCACAAATTGGACGTTAACTCGAGGCTGAGCGGTACAGATCTGTTCCTTCCCTCAAACAGGGCTAGCAGCACACGCGGTGGCCAGACAAAACAAGACGCCGTTCCGCTGTAAAAAGCAAAACAAGTCCCCCCGAAGTACGAGTCGGTCAAACACCGGAGCTTCCTCCCGGCGGAATTCGCGAATTCCCAAAGCAGAAAAAGTGTCCGCGTGTTCACCAGACTCCAACGGCAAGCTTTCCCGAGGTCTGCTCCCCGTACAGGCCAGTCTCTCCAGCTGTGTGTGACCTTCTGCGAGGCGCTGTTTGTTTGCTCATGCTGATCTGAAGAAAGCCTGGCTCCCCCTCCTCCCCCTCTCTCTCCCTCGCGCCTTCTGGCCCTATGAATGGAGATGACTGGAAATGAATTTGCTGTTACAGTAAGAGAGTCCAGAGGAATGTCATTCCCTCAGCTCTTTTGCATAGGGGAGGGCGCCACCCAATCAGAGCGCTTTCCGGTATTAATCAGGGCGCGGCTCCAAGCCGCGGGGCTCCTGGAATTGGCTTGTGCGCCGCCGCGAAAGCTACTGTAAAAGCCCCAAACAGGCCCCGCGTCTCAATGGGACGCCGCGGTCAACGGGAGGCTTAGACCAAAAACGTGTGTGGTGGTGGCGGCTGTGTTTGTGTCGGGGCTGCTGTGGTGAAAGGCGGGCGAGCGGCAGAGGTGGGGTGGAGAAGGGCGCGCGCATTCCTCCCCCCCCCCCACCGCTTGAGCACGGGTCCTCGAGGGATCAATAAAAGGTCGCGAAAGTAGCACTTAAGGAGCTCAAGTCATTTGAACGATCTGGCGAATGAGCGCGCACCGCCCAAGGCAAGTCCCTTCAAGAGTCGGCGGTCGTGCGGAATCTCCTCAGAGGCTCTCTTGAGTGGAGCTACAGGCCACTTCCACCCGCGACTGAGCTGCTTCGTTCCCCATAATTGCCAGAGCTAAGAGAGAAGGAAGTGTGCCTGGCTGCGAGCAAATAGACAGCTGTTGTATTTATGCCATAGATATGTGTTAAGAAAGCTTGCAAGCCCTTCTCTCCACACGTGAGAGCTTCAGGTGGCAAAAAGTGAAAAGAAAGGAGAAAAGCCGCTCCAGGAAGAGGATGATTTCTCTCTTCCCATCTTCCCAAGCCATTTTATTTTGGCTTCATCACCTATATAAAAACCAATGAAATTAATGTGTGACACTGGGTAGTGTGAAGGTAGATGTTACCTGTTGTATTTCTTCCTGCTATGCAGCTCCTACAAGTAATAGCAAGCCTTTTAAGAGCGGGAAACTGCACACTCTTCCTGTGTACTATGAGAGCTAAAAATGTACATGCATTGCTACTCATTTCAGGACCTATACAAATTCCCATTCTGCATCTTTTTTAAACCAAAGGGTCACACCTCTGAAGTTTACAGGCTCATCCTCAAATTTTCCTGACTATATGAATGTATCCTGCTACTTTTTTAAAAATGTCATGTCTTGGTGACATGTATCTCATCTCCAGCACACAGCTGAAGCATCTTAAAGTTGCACATAGCTGATCCAATTTTAAAGTTAATGTTTTTCCTCCTGATATATTTTTGACACAGATATAATATAGCAGATTTCATCAACACTCTTAAATGCTGATGAAGTCATACTGAGATCGAAGGAGTTCCTGTTGGCCAGTTTAGACTGCAGTGGGTTGGAGATCTCTGATCACTGAAATCTGCTCCCAATGATTATTTTAGCTTGGGATATATAGAAGATACTAGGGAACTGGTTTTCTCAGAGACATCTGCCCATTTAATGCTTGATTGGTACTTTCCACTACCTTTTTCAGACCTTACATGGACTTTTTATAAACAAGAGTTTATACTTCTTTTGAAAAAAGTGCTAGGTCTTTATTAAAAGAAGCAAACAAAATAATGCTTTCTTGAAGAATCCTTGTCCTGTGTGCTACATTGGTTGATTCTAATAAAAAAGAGCTCAGTTTTACCAGTTGTGTTGTTGATTCTGTCACCATTGGTACAAATTTCCTGCTGTTCCTGCAACAAAGGATTTAATATGGTTCTCCTTTTTTACTATTTTTATTAGTTTGCTTGGAAAGGAAAAGATTTGTGACCATTCTATTTTGGATCCTTTGTTGCCTTTGGGGCAGATCTGGATTTGCAGCCAGCACTGCCATTCCTTTGGTCACTATGGATTGATCCTTCACATTTCATCCTATGCCCTCCAAATTCTGTCATTCTGGCTATTTTGGAGCATGGCTTCAGTGTTAAAGCCATGTTCAGAAGTAGTAGCCCCATAGTGCATCTTCTTTGCATCTGTGAACCAGTGGCTAGGCTTTCTCTTATACTTACCCAACAAAGGGTTAGGCAGAATGATGGGTGGTTGTTTTCCTGCTTCAGATGATGTATGGTAGATGGAAAAATAAACTCATGAAAATTTACGAGTCGCTTCCCTTGATTTGCCTAGGAGTAGAGCATGGCAATCCATGCAGCAAATTTCACACCAACATACTTTTCTGCATGCTCAAGGATGATGGACCATACTTTAATGCAACAGTCTGGCAGTCCCATTTGTTCAAATGCTAGGTCACTCACTCCATTCTGTGTTCCTTTGGAGGCATACAAAGTATCTTGCAAAATTTGATCAGAGTGTAATCACTGAGACATGTTGTGGCTCAGTTATAAAGATAATGTTATTTTCTTAGTTCTTCAGAAAGTCAGGCCTCATTCCAAAAGCTTTTGGCCCAGGACAGAAAGTCATATGCTTTCCAGTCCTTCTCCCTTTTCAGAACATTGAGAACCAAAGTACACAATAAGAGCTCCTGAGTTGAGCTTGGTTTTAGGAAAAAAAATATCTGATTTTCCTAGGATATCTCTCTCTTCTGTACTTTAAAGTACAGAAGCCCATCACACTATCTAGTTTCCAGATGCAAGTAAAAGATGCAGGACAACAATGTACACAGCAACCTGTGGGACTAAGAAATGCAAGAAATTTCCAAAAGCTCAGAATATAAATCCAGGTTTCCCAATAAGCAGGACTGCACTCCTTCAAAATTTATCTTATTTGCCCTTATATTGTAGCCCAGCAGTTGCACATTATTTGATTCTATAGTTTTACAAGTTTACATTTATTTAAGATTTTTGTTTCTCTGACAGTTCTTCTTGACATAGGTAATAATTAGAGTGGGGACTTCCAGATGGGAAGAATGACAGTCATAATGCAATAATCATCTTTTTGGTTCGTCCAAATGAGTGTCATAGTCTTTTAGAGGCAGATTGTTTTATTTCTATACTGTAATATGCTAGGGGACACTTTAAAACATTATAGAATCCTTGGATTTCCATTTGTCTATGTCATATGGCTATGTTATAGCCAATTGAACACAGGATCAAAAATATATTTTTACCATTCTTTTTAAAAGCACATCCAGGTAGAGCTATATTCTACTAATATTTTGATTTCCTCATTGATCAAATTCACTATCATCCTTCAATCTAACTTCCATTTCACAAGAATATGGTTCTCACAACATATTAAAGGGGAAAATCTTCAACAATAAAAGTATACATGGCATCATTTTCCTGCTACTCTCCCCATGCCATGAACACATGAGACTCTTAACATCATGTGAATTCAAAATGTATGCTGTCTTAGGTGAATCTACTTTAGTTGATGTTGGTTACATAATCTAGGTTAAGGGGATTCAAGAAGCTGTCTATTTTGACTTCATA